CTTCAAGGCTCAGGGGTCCAGGATTATCTTCTGTGTCTGTGTTAATTGGTTTCCCTTTTCTTTGTTGAAGAGGGTCTGTGCAGTCTTTCTGCCTAGTCCTCCATCTTGCCGGATCCAAGAGATACTAAGGTATTTTAAAGTCTCCCAGTGCTATTACAATTTCTTTACTATCTCTGAATTTCTAAGAATCTCTTGCCTTGTATGTTTTTGCTGCTTTGTTATTAGTTGTATAATGGATCATATGACTTGTAGCTTCATTAACCAAAACCCAAGAAATCAAATCCACTACTGTCGAATTGATGCCAACTCATAGTGACCCTGTATGATAGAGTAGAACTGCCCCATAGGATTTCCAAGGCTGTTGATCTTTTTTGGAAGCAGACTGCCACATCTTTCTCCCACGGAGCAACTAGAAGGTTCAAACTGCTAGCCTTTTACTTGGTAGCTGAATGCTTTAACCACTGCCACACCTGGGCTCCTTATAGCTTAACTGGGAGCTATATATTTTCTCAGGAGCTCTGGTAGCATAGTGGCTAAGACACTTGCCTGCTAACCAGACGGCTGGTGGTTCAAACCCGCCAGCCACTCCTCGGAAGGAAGGTTGGGCAATCCTACTTCCGTAGTGATACTGCCTCGGAAACCCAAGGAGGGGTCGCTATGAGTCGGGGCTGACTCGATGGCACATAACAACAACAACAACATATATTTTCTCAGTATAAAAATGATCCTTCTGTCCAGTTTAATGCTTTTCATTGTCAATTCTATTTTGTCTAAGATTAATATTATCTCTTTTCATGTTTTGATATGCCTTTTACACCATAACTCAAGTATTAAAATTGGTTGCAAATAATAGGGACATTCAGTACAAGAATAATAGCCTAGGAGTTCGCTTATGTACCTAACAGGAGTAGGCTTTGGTTACCTCACCATGGTTTTACATTAATAGCTATCTTTTGTTGTATGTATAATGTTATTCTAATTACTTATTCTCCCTGTGTTTCATGTGTTGTAGACTCACAATAAAATTTTGCTTTTTGATTGATTAAAGAATTAATTTCTTCTATGTATATGTTATTTCCTGAAACTTTGTTTTACGATTCAGAGTATTTGAGTTGTAGAGATAAATGAGCTGTTATTTAGTCTATGTAATATGACCCTTAATTGATGATTTCCTAGTTGACAAATCTTTTTTTATTATACCTGGTTCTCATATACTTTATCATCAATAGAGCATAGAATTTTTTTTTTTTTGGGGGGAGAGTGTATTTGGAATAACTTAATAACTTGATCGTCATTTATTATGTCCTAAATACTACTGATAGTATTCAAATGTGATTTAACTGGGCTAAGATGGTGACCTAGTTTCTAGGCATCAGACCATTTCATATCATAAGTCCCCCCCCCTTTTTTTATTGTAATTTGGGTAAAAATTTACAGAGCAAATTCACTTTCCATAGAGCAGTTCACATATACTTTGTTCCATGACATTGACCACAATTCACCACAGTGCAACAGCTCTTCTCCCACTTCCTCCCAACAGTCACCTCTTCCCTGTGACCATCCCTCCATGCACCCCTAACCCCTGAGATGTCTCCCTGTGCATAAACAGCCCTTTTTCCTCCCATAATTGTTCTCTCTAAGGAGTGTATTTACCTCAGGTAAATGTTCAACTCCTATGCCTGTCTTTTGTTTGGCTGGAAGCCACAGGTGTGGGTTCAATACCAGATGTGAAGGAAAGCTAGGGGCCATAGTCTCAGTGGTTCCAGCAGGCTATAAGACCAGCAAACCTGATCCTTCTCCTTTTTTTTTTCCCAAATGATTTTGAGTTTTGTTCTACATTGTTCTTCCTCTCTATCCAGGATCTCCTACATAGATTCCCCCTCCTAGTGGTACATTGCTAGCCAGGTACCATCTAGTTCTTCTGGTCTCCTAGTTGTATAGGCTGCTGATCGCATGGTATGCCGGTCTCTAGGACTAATTCTGGATCGCATGGTGTACCAGTTGCTAGGACTAATTCTTTCCATGAATCTTTGGTTTTCTTCATTCTTCTTTGCTCTGGATGAGGAGAGGCCCATTGTTGCATCTAGATGGCTGCTTGCAAGCTTTTAAGATCTCAGTCACTACTCGCCAAAGTAGAGGTGGAACAATGTTTCATATAGTATGTTATGCCAATTGAGCTTGATGTCCCCTGTGAATATGTTCTCGAGCCCACAGGTTCAACTACTCGATCGCTCTGGGTAGCTGGCTGTGACCAAGAAGTGACTACAACCTTGTCCATTGTCAACTCTACTATACACCTGGGAATTCAGATCATACAAACACAGTTATAGGACCATTGTCTGCCAACCCTATATATGATCTTGTGTACACTTCCCACTTCATAGACATACCTGATAGTTCAGCCTGTCCACCCATCTATCCACCCGTATACCCATGTTTGACTTCACTGACAACGCAGTACTATATGTGCAAAAGGGTTCGTCTTTGTTGTCTGTACCTCCCTTGTATCTCTCTATGTCTTCCTCTTCCTCAGTGTCACCATGTTGATCACTCACATTTGGTATATTGCCCTTCTCTTCACCGAAATCAATTCTTTACCTATCTATCAGTGTTCACTCCCCTCCCCTCCCACCCCTGGTAACCAACAAAGAAAATTTCCTTCAATAGATAAACCTTTCCTTGATGTTTACAATAATGGACTACTACAATATTTGTCCTTCTGTGATTGACTTATTTCACTCAGCATAATGTCCTCCAAGTTCATCCATGTTATGCAGTGTTTTGCAGATTCTAGGTTATTCTTTAGGATTGCATAGTATTCTGTTGTGTGTATGTACCATGGTTTGGTTATCCAGTCCTCAGTGGACGGACATCTAGGTTGTTTCCATCTTTTGGCTATGTAAATAGTGCTGTGATGAACATGGGTGTGCATATGTCTGTTCTTGTCATGGCTCTCGCTTCTTTAGGATATATACCTAGTAGTGGAATGGCTGGGTCA